TAGAATAAAACCGCCCCATTTATTTTTATAAAAAAGTTCTAAGAACCGGTATTTTGTTTTTAATAAGTATTAAAAAGTTTTTTTAAGCTTAAATTCTTTGGAATAGTTAGTCTATTGTGTGAAAATTTCAAATCGATCGATACACAAACGTCTGAGATATAGCGTGTTTAAATAATGATTTTGTAAAAATTTCCTATCACAGTATCTATGATGTTTTAATTCGTTCAAACGAACGGAGTCGACGTGACGCGACGGAGCGTGGCGACTGGTATAGCTCGCTATAAAACGCTTTATAACTCGGAAAAATCAAAAGAGAGAGATTACTTAAAACCATATTAAAAATGACCATAATTGAGAAAAATTACAAATAATTGCGAATTTTCACCGTGAAAATGGGAAAATTTTGGAAAACGCATAACACCATCGGATAGCCCGTACAAAAATCTATATAAATCATGGTTTTTGAATAATTTTTCCCATTTTCTGTCTGCTTTTCAGCTATTCGAAAACAAGCTTATTTTGCACCGCTCAGCGCGCTTGGGACATTTGGCGTGAATCGCCTCATATGCATATGTATGGATGTATGTACAATAGGTGGTCCCACAATGCATGTGAAAAAGAAAAGTCGGATAGGATTCTTCTATGGGAAAAAATGCACCCCAATGTTTTATTTTGAAATCGAAAAATATTTTGAGGTCGCTCAAAGCGCTCAAAATTTTCTATATATTTTATATGGAACAAGTAATTTTTAGCAAAAAAAAACCCGACTTCAACGCTCATATAAAAAAAATATATATATATATATATCTCATGATCCACTGATAGGATCTTAACCAGATTAGTATGGGACTACCTCTGAGACACTACCTTTCCGATGCAAAGAATTATCGAAATCGGTTGACGTGGTCCAAAGTTATGCGGTAGCATACATAAAAAAAAAAAAAAAAATATATTCCGACGAACTGATAACCTCCTCCTTTTTTGAAAGTCGGTTAAAAAACAAACTTTTCGTGGAAACGGTATAGAGTTCTTAAAAATTAATATTTATCGATCGGATTTCAAAATAAAAAATATGCGTATATTTTTTTCGATATAGAACAACCCGAGGGGGTGAGAGCATTAAAATTCCGACTTTACTCTTTTTGGATCCCCCTAATGTACAATCTATATATATATATGTGATTCTCATCCTTACCCTAAAAGTGCAGCTGTCACGTAGACCACGGCAATATGTCCTGTATCCAATGTAAATGTAAATATCCACATACCGACCATTGAGAAGGCGTAAACAGCTAACGTAGTTTCTCTAAAAATTCAATAATAAAAATATTGTATATAAATAAGGATGGCTCAAGAAAAACTGTCCTGCTGCATAAATTTTGTGACTCCCTCCAAAATATGTATATCAGCTTAATTTTGGGTCTTTCCTGAGCTGGACCTTATTGAAAATAGGATTTACAACCAAGTTTACTTCAGTAAATACATATCTACATGTACATATGTATGTATGTATGCACATAAACTGGCGTTGTATTTTTCAAATTTCTTTGGCGAACGGTTTGAAGTATTTAATGAAGTAAACTACCGGTTTGGAATCGTTTAGAAATAAATTTATAATAGGTTTGTAATATAAAGATAATAAAGACAAATATGCGAGAACGAAAATTTTAAATTTTCAATTCTTTTTATACAAAATACTTTAGCAAAAATATACCAAAATTAAAAAAAAAAGATCCTTTTTTCAAACGAATTATTTTCTAATAATTTTGGTAACCATTTACGGAATAACAGCTTAAGTCAAAGATTTAGTATAATACTATTCCCTTGATTACCCAAACTAATGGGAATTTTTTGAAGATGCAGTTATGGGAGTATGTATTAGGGGAGAGCTGCTTGCATCAAAATTATCTCTGTAACATTTATGTACGTATTTGTCAACAATACATATTTAAATGGCTCCCGGGTACATGTGACTTTAACTGTTATACCGTAAACATTTGGAACAAGGTTATCTTAATTTTGAAAGCTGTACTTGTTTAACTCTGGTTATTCTTTTTTAGAGGATAACATACCGACGTTTTTCCAATGATGGATTTTTAGTGAAAATGAGTGTGGCATTTTTATTATACCTTTTTTTTGTATATTTACGATATTACGGGTGAGTTTTTTGTATATAATAAACCAAACGGAATTCATTGGAATTAATTTGAAGAAATACTTATTTTAATATTCGATTGCACTTACTTGAATTTGCGCATTTGGTCTAGCACAATGCCACAGACGACGGAGCCGATCATGCCTGCCAGTACAATAGACAATCCAATGCGACCTGTGTCAACCTCATGGCCTGGATAATATTTGAGCACCACCTGAGGAGAGAAGTAATTTTAATAAGAAAAAAAAAGGGTTAAGGCAGTGTGGCACGATTTGGTGCAAATCGTATCGCAATCGTGTGAATACAAAAATATTTTTTTTTATTCTAATCACAAAAAACAATAAGGGTGGGTACTCATCCATCCGCGCAAGTTTCATATTTGGGCAATCGGGCAACTTTGCGCAATGCCTTTAATGAGCACAATTTTATATTCTGTGCAATTTCAGACTTATAATTATTTAAAAAGTTGAACGAGTGAAACTCGAATTTAAGAATTACTATTTAAGTCTTACGAAAAAGCGTTGAGCACAAATCAAAATGAAAGTAAACAAAATAGTTGATTGAGGGTTGCACATCACACTGCGCACATTTGCGCGACAAAATTTCCGCTCAAACTTGCCCTTTTCGTGCAAATAGCTTTCCATACAAATTTTGACATTTCATTTGCGAGGGTTTTAAATTGTACAGTTTTAAGAAAAATTCAGTACAGAATTAAGAAAAATTCCACAAATTCGAGCTTTTTAACCAGAACTTTTATAACATTTTTGGGTATGCAGTTAACAGCCTTACAAAATTTTAGTAAAACAAGTGCAAGTTTTGAGCGGCTATAAAAGGGCATTGATTTTTAAAATTTTTTTTTTTGCTGACGGCTTTTGCGGGTTTTTCCATATAAAAAGTGAAATTAATAAAAAGTAGCGTTGATTATTTTAAATTTTTTTCGAAAACGGTCTTACGTATTTTTTCCACAAGAAATTCATGTGTATACAGAAAAAAGTGCAAAACGCCGCAAAAAAATATTAAAGTTCAATGCGATTTTTGCACTTATTTTACTTGAGTTTCTTAATAATTGCAACAGCATACCCAAAAATTTTATATAAATTCGGATAAAAAAGCTAAAAATGTTGATGAAAGTTTGTTGAGTTCTTCTGAATTCTGTACATAGTTGGAAAGTTTTATTTATATGATTTGAGTTAAAGCATGAATCTTATTTCTATAAAAAGATAGTAAAAAAATTTTAGCTTGTAAATATTAAAAACAAAACACCATTCATCCACTTTTGACCGCCACTGTATGTGTGTAATTATTTTTAATCTCACCGGATTGAGCAAAGTGGATATTGCATAGAATACGCCAACATTCATTCCATACGAAATTAGAAGCAGTACGTAGTTGCGATTCAGCACCAAACTCTTCAATGATTGCATAAATGGTGCCTGAGCAGCTGCTTCATCTGAAGATGTGGCCGAACGCTTTGGGTTTGGCGGTGTAGGTGGTTTATCCCTAAAAACTAAAGAATTAAATAAAAATGAAATTCCAAACAAAAACGAAGTCTCGGAGAGGGAAAACGATATGGACTGTTATTAATATTAATAATAATAATTTATTATATGTATGCATATGAACATATGTATGAATGAATATCTGTATTTATGTATTAGTACTTAGGAGAGTAAAAAGTGTCTTACAAAGTATCATCAGCACCATTAAAACGGTCGTAAAGCCTGCAAAGCAGTAAAACATAAAAAGCAAATCGCTGCCAATTTTATCCAGATCATCGGAGTTTTCCACTAAAATTGGAGGCAGCACGAAACCAACTGCTATGCCGAGCTGAAAAAGACCAAGCATAAAAATACATACATACAGTTAGTGAAAAATTGTGTGCACTTTTAATAATAAAGAGAATTACGTTGGAACAATTCATATAGTTGGTATACAAGAATACAGATGCAAAGGCACACATCTTGGCCAATTTTGGGGAGTTTAATTATTTATTAGACTGAATATATTAGCCATTCTTTTTTAAGTCGGACGGATTTCGTAAAAAAAAAATTATGTCATGTCTCCGATTCGCTTAAATTTTTTGGGTTCTATATATTACCGGCAAAATCCGATCTTAGGACAAACTAGTTTTGCCTAGGCTAAACTGGATCAGGAGCGTAGGCGGCCTTCGGCAGCACTTCAAAAAAATCACCCTCATCAGTCCAGCTCCTGGTACGCGGTCCACAATATTATTGCGTCCAACTTCTTTCCGCATTGGACGGATATATTGGATCAAGGTAGAACTAGTTTAGCCTAGGAAAAACTAGTTTGTCCTAAGATCGGGTTTGGCCGGTAACATATACATATATGAAATGAGCTAACACGTGTTCGAGCAATGTTTTTCTTTTTTTTCTTCTTCGGAGATATGATCTGTAAAAGTTTGCATTTTTTCGTGACTCTGACTAATCATGTACTTCTTTAAATCGATCGTAGAGACTTCATCTTAACATAATTTTAAAGCTAAGAAACGGGCCTAACATTTCTATATATAAGATGGTCAAGATTGCCCTAAAGCTAACTTAGCTGTTAATAGTTGAACTTTTTGAAGTTGATTACCATCGTAATCCTTGTTTAATTCTCTATACAAAACGTGGTTCGAAAAAATTGGCGTTTTTCAAGAAGTATTTTTAAAACATTTTTCTTTATGATGAGATGGTTTATTTTGTGAGAATCAACAATTTTTTATAAATTTTTTTCCAAAACTTATGTTAAGATATGTATATTTGGTAGAGTCCGACCGATTAATCGGCATCGGCATCGGCTAGTATCGGCACAAAATTGAGCATCGGCATCGACCTTTTTTCGCCGATTCTTTGCAGATTATTTGGATTTTCTTTTCATATGTTCAGGTGAAGTGACAGACAACAGCCAACATCAAAAAATATTTGCTGACAGCTCACAAAAATTATTATTATTTTTTTTTTGAGTCTGATTAAAAAGTTTGAAATTTTGGTGAATTCTGAATTTATATGGCGTTTGTTGTATATTAGCTTGACTTTTATAAAAAAAAAAAACATTAAATAAACAAAAGACAAATGCCAAAACCGGTCAAAATATCGCAAGTCTTTTATTTTGTGGACAACTACATATATGTATGTATATATATGCCTAATATAAGTTCCAATGCATTGAGTGCAAAAAGAGTGTATTTCAGTACAAAACGAAATTAAATTTTATGGTCCTAAATATTTCTTGCTTAGCACCATATAAAAAAAGTGTTTTATGAAATGTACATAAATGTGATATATGTATATATATTTTTATGCATATGTACATACATGTGTATGTAATGTTGCATAACAAGTCAATTAATTCAATTATTTGTTTTCTTTTGTTTTGTTAACTCCGTTAAATTAACTGAATTAATACATTTATTTGTAATTTTTTATGGAATCGGCATCGGCATCGGCATCGGCTGATTCTTTCCCCATAGGCCGATTAATCGGCATCGGCGTCGGTACCTGAAAAAAAATCGGAATCGGTCGGATTCTACTCTAGTCTATATATTAATACGCTAAAATAAATTTTGTCTGCCTTCGTCTGGCGATTCTACCGAACCGATTTGAAAACCATTGGAAAAGTATTTTTCTGTAGATGAGGAGAGTTTTTATGGCTTCAAAATTACGGCCAAAATCGTCGTTTAAAAATTTCGCGTTTGTGTATGATTGTTGTTGCAACCTGTTCAATTTGAGCTGTTTTCGCATTTTGTTTTAC